GTGGGAGTTGTCCAGTCAGCTCACAGTGAGCCATCGTGAGACCAGGTGGGAGTCCAGTGAGACCAGTGAGTCCAGTCGCCAGACCCTATGAGACGAGTGGTCACCCAATTGCAGGACCCGTCGGTGGGTTGCATAATGGTCCTGAACTCTGGGCGAGGGCTGAATGATGAAACTGTTATTTGTTATCTGAGCCGAGAGCGAGTGGAAACGCAAGTAGGCAAGCACCGCACAGGAACTGTGCTATTCAAGGTAGGGCTAACTGTGTGAAGCAGTGGTTGTTGTGGTTGTGTGTTCGGTGTGTTGCACTGCTTGTGCTGCATCTCGATGGCGGCGAGCCTGAAGAAGCCAGCGGCGTTACGGTGCTGGCTGTCTTACCTGTGCTGTCGACACCTGAGGACAGACCGACGCACTGAGGAGGAACAGGCAGAGAGACAGAGACACAGACAGAGACAGACAGGGTTGCTGGAGTGTAAAGTGGTCCAGAGGTGGTTTGAAACCCAGCATATTGTAGACCTGAATCCTGTGTGTGGTTAACATCCTGGATCTGGTTCAGGCTCTGACCCTGGCTCTGGTTCTGGTTCCTCAGGTCTGGGCAGGGTGAGTCCGTCTCAGATGTCTGTAGCCAGAGAAGACGGGACCGTCTCCCAGGACGATGCCACCGACGAGATCATGGATCGACTGGTCAAATCCGTCACCCAGAATCCTTCAGACAGACCGTCCAGCCCCAAGACCCGCAAACGGTCTCGGCTGAACAGGAAATCACGTGAGTAGCCGAGGATGCTGGTCCAGAATTTAATGCTGAAGACAGATTCATTGTGACCCTGAAGACAGATCAAGAACTTCCTGTTTCCTGCTGAGCTTCATATCAGATCTGAACCTGGTTCTTGTTGGGTTCAGTTTGGTCTGGACTCTGTGTTGAGACACAAACAGCAGCTCTGTGTCCAAAACAGCTCCATATCAGTAAATCCTGTGGCAGCAGATAATCCGTCCTCCGGCTGCAGTCTGGAGGACGCTCTGGTCCTGTGGGACCGTTAGTGAGACCTGCAGTATCTGCCTCACAGCATAACAACAACAACAACAACAATAATAATAAATAACAATAATAATAATAATAAATAACAATGCTTGAAGAAGATGTTTGATGAAGAGGGAGCTGTATGAAGATGAGTGACGTGAAGATTTGTGAGAACGATGTTGTGATGAAGATTTTGTGATAAGAGGAGTGAGAAGATGTTGTTGATGAAGATTTGTGATGAAGATTATGTGATGAAGAGTTGTGATAGAATGATGTCGGTGTGATGAAGAGGGCAGGTGATGAAGAGATGATGAAGATGTTGTGGATGAAGGATGTGGTGATGAAAGAGGAGCATGAAGATGTTGTGATGAAGATCGTTGTGATGAAGAGGAGGTCAGAAGAGGAGTGATGAAGAGGAGTGATGAAGAGAGTGATGAAGATGTCCTGTGCATGAAGGAGCCTGTTTGAACTTCTCTGCTCGTTATAGTAATAAACTGCAGTCGTCTATCATCAGCCAAATCAGGAGAGGCAGTCGGGTCCTCGTGGCGTCGTCAGTGCCCTCTGGTTCATCTCTCTAATCAATAGTCCCATTATCGATTGATCGCATCAGTTTGAGTCTCTGCTAGACTTTGTCTCCGGTCTTACTGTTGAGTCCCAGAGCCTCTGAACCACGTCCAGACTGAGGGTTCCGGTCGGTCAGAGTCCTCCTCACTGCAACACACACACACACAGGTTAGCATTCTGAAGTAAGGCTGAGCAAACATAGTTGATTATTATTATTATTAGTTAATTATTATTTATTATTGTCGAATATTATCATATATTATTATTATTTATTATAGCTTTTTCATGATCAGTCATGGTCACTCTACTACTGTGTTGCTGCACATCCTCCAATCTCTCTCTCTCTCTGCTCTCTCTCTCTCTCGATGTGGTACTTTGGGTCTTGTAAATTGTTATAAGGTTCGGCTAGACCTGCTCCTATTTGAAAATGTGTCCTGAGTAACTTCTGTTATCGAATTGGCGCCATACAAATAAAACTGAATTGTA